TCCTTTGTAGGTGATTTGTTTCTTTTCTCTAACTGCCTGTAGGATTTTGTTCTTCTGTTGGGTTTCTGGGATCTTGACTATTATATGTCTATGTGTAGATTTTTTTTTTATCATGGCTAGTTGGAGTTCTGTATGTCTCACTTATCTGTATGTCCAGTTCTCCACCTCTGTCTGGGAAGTTTTCTACTACTACTTTTGTGATCAGTTTTTTTATGTCAGCTGTACTTTCTCCTGTTTTTTCGTGGACTCCTATCAGTCTTATGTTATTCTTTGCATCATCTAGCAGCTGCTGGATTGATTTCTCGTGGTCCCTTACTGTTTTGAAAAGATCTCTCTTTTCATGATCCTTAACTGCGATCCTGTCTTCTATATCTGATATTCTATCTACAGAGTCCCTTAATCTGCTCTGCATGTCTTCAGTGGAGTTTTTAATCTCCTGAATATCTGTTTGAATCTGTTTCATGGATTCCATTTCTTTCTTATGTTTGTTGATCATGGTTTCCATTTCTTTCTTCTGCTGGGCATTCATGGCTTCCAGCATGTTTCTGAGCTCATCTGTTTTTTAAATCTGTTTCTGTTCTAGAGCCTGTAATCATATCTTTCACTCTGCTCACCATCTCTGTAGTTATCTGGGAAATTATTTCCGTTCTGAATTTTTCTAGAGCCTCATTCATCTGTTTTGTTACTTCCTGTTGTATCAGTTAAGGGCGTACAGGTGGTTGATTATCAGACTTTTCCACCTCACTTCCTCCAGAATTTGCCTTTTGTGGGGTGGAAGTCTGAGTTTGTGCCTTACTTAAATGTCTTCTCATTTTTGTTTTTGGTACTGTCCTTGGTTTAATTCCTGGGTTGATATTTTGAAGTTGCTTATTGTAAGTATCTTTGTTGCTTGTATTTAGAACACTTATGGAATGATTGCTTCTCAGAGGTGACTTCCAGATATAGCTGGTCTTTAGGTTTTGAGTCTCTAATGGCTCTGAGGCTCATTTTCATTATACCAGGAAGGACAACTGATTAGATCAGTCACAACACCTTAGCCCAAATGATACAATCAGCAACACAATAGCATCAAGTACCTCTTAGAAAATGACAATTTGTAGTACTTATTAATCTATCACCTTTAACTGTGTGAATTAAATCAAAATCAAGGACCAATCCAACATAATATTAATAATGAGTAGACTCTTCAGTATAGCAACTTTACCCTTCAGGATGGGGAGTTAGAAGGAGTTGGGGAGAGAGGAATAGGTAAATAGAAGAATAGGGGAAGGTTAGCAGTGAGGCCAGAGGGCACAGGTGAGAGAGGGAAAGAGAAGAAAAGAAAGATAAAGAAGAAATATGAATTAGGGGAAGAACAGGAGCACAAAGGGAGATGAAGAACAATGTTGTGTGCAAGGGAGCCAGGCAGAAAAGAAAGGAAAAATAAAAATAAAAATTTTAAAAGAGTAGCAAAGAAGAAAAAATTTAAAATAAGAGCAAAAAAAATAGCAATTTTGAAAATAAAAAAAAGATAAAAATGAAGGGCCTCCTTCAGGGTATGTCTCTGCTGTCAAAATAGGCAATGTGGGCAGCAGTGTGCAGTTATAAGTCAATGAGTCTCTGTAAGCCAGTCAGAGACCTGTGAGATTCAGGCAGATTTCTGGCTGCAAGTCCCAAGTTGAGCTCCCTGTCCTCCTACAGGGTTGAACGCTGGAAAGTTTTACTGCAGGTTCCAGCTGCCTTTCCCCTGAAGATAGTCCATGTTCCGATGGGAGGTGATGATCCCTCCAACTTACCAAGCATGGTGGTCTGCTGGGCCTTTACTATGGAGATTCTCTTCACTTTTCCAGTGGGGTTCAGTTTTCATCAGGGAGCCTGAGAGAGCCCCTCTCTGTGTTGTTCACTTCTGCACCTCAGGACAATGGCCTTTATGCCCCCCTGTGCCTCTGTAGTGTGGATCCAAGTAGCTATACAGCCAAGAGGCTGGGGGGGCTGTTGTTGCAGGCATCCCCGTGCAGTCAAGCTGGAGGCTGGTGGGTGTGCTCGGGGGTCCTCACCCGCTTGGTCTCTGGCTTGGTCTCCTGCCCACTTGTTGATTGTTTGTGCTAGTTCCTGGGCAACTCAGGTTTTGTTCATGAAATCTTTTCCCACACCAATGTTTTCAAGAGTTCCACCTAACCTCTGTTCCAGCTGATTCAGTGTTTCTGTTTTAATATTTAGATCTTTAATCCATTTCGATTTTGGTTTAGTGCATGGTGAGAGATACAGGTCTAGTTTTTTTTTTTTTGTACTGGGGATTGAACTTGGGTCCTTGTGCTTGTGCAGCAGGCAGCGAAACCACTGAGCTAAATCCCCTGCCCTAGGTCTAGTTTTAATCTTTGACAAGTTGAAATACAATTTTTCCAGCACCATTTATTAAAGAGGCTATTTTTCCTCCAGTGAGGGTGTTTGGCTCCTTTGTCAAAGATGAGGTGGCTGAGTGTGTCTAGAGTTGTTTCTGCAACTTCTAATCTGTTCCACTGTTCCTCAGGTCTGTTTCTTTGCCAGTACCACACTGATTTTTATCACAGTAGCTTTGTAGTATAGTTTCAAGTTGGGGGTTGTGATACCCCTTGCCATGTCTCTGTTAACTAGAATTGCTTTTGCTATTCTGGGTCTCTTCTTGTTACAAATGAATTTTTGGATTGTTTTCTCAAGGTCTATGAAGTATGCTGCTGGGATTTCAATTGGGATTGCACTGAATCTATATAGCAGTTTTGGAAGTATGGCCATTTTCACTATATTGATCCTTCCTACCCAGGAGCAGGGGATGTCTTTCCATTTTCTGATATTGTCTTCAATCTCTCTTTTCAGAGTGCTATAGTTTTCAAAGAAGAGGTCTTTGATTTCATTAGGTTGATTCCTAGGTATTTCAGTTTTTTTGAATGCTATTGTGAAAGGAATTGTTTGCCCTATTTCTGTCTCAGTGAGTCTGTTGTTTGTGTAGAGGAAAGCTATTGACTTTTGTGTGTTGACCTTATATCCAGCTACTCTATTGAATTTGCTTATTAAGTCTAGAAGACTTTTGGTGGAGTTCCTGGGGTCTTCTACATAGAGTATCATGTCATCTTCAAATAACGACAATTTTACTTCTTCATTCTTTTTATTTCTTTCTCTTGTCTAATTGCCGTGGCTCATGTTTCCAGAACTATATTGAACAGGAGTCGTGATTCCATCTCTCCAGCTTTGTCCTAGATTGTTTTCCCCTGACCATACTGGCTTCTTTCTGTTACTGGAATCATCTCAGAGGTTTTGCACTTGCTCATTCCTTTGTCTAAACATGAAATAGCTGATATAGCTGGTTCCTTCTCATCCTGTTCTATTCAAATGATACCTTATTGGAGGCCTTTCCTACCATTATATTTTATTTTTATTTATTTATTTTTTTGGTACTGGAGATCAAACTCGAGTCCTTGGCGCTTGTGAGGCAGGCCACAGAACCACTGAGCTGAATCTCCAGTCCCTACCATTATATTTTACCATTATATTTTAAATATGGCCCTAGTTACCCTTTACCTCATTAGCTTTATTTCCTTGTTTTATTTGTATATTGGTTGTCCCCCTCCTTTACACACACAAACACACTCTCAAACATAAATTTTATAAGGGCAGAGCACTTTTTTATTGTCACAAATGTATCTATACCTAGCAGTGTCTGAAATTCAGCAGGTCCTCAGATGTTTGTCAATGAACAGTTACTGTTCCTTGTTCCTTTTCTCATTAATCCTGTGCACTGAGTTAAACAGAATAAAATGTGTTTGGTTTTCTCTGTCTAGCTTGAATTCTTGGGATCTCCTTAGCTGAGTGAGAGCACATCTCCCAGCTGGTGACAGACGTGATGTTTCACCGGTTCCTGTCGATTATCCGAAGACAAAGAACCAGCCCAAGATGCCAGAACTGGTGCTTGGCAAGAAGCAGTGCGTCGGCTGCCGAGGCCCATTCTGTCACCCTGCCTGCCCAGGCCCAGGTGGTCATCTGTGGGGGTGGAATCATGGGCACATCCGTGGCCTATCACCTCTCCAGGATGGGGTGGAAGGACATCGTTCTTTTGGAGCAGGGCAGGTGAGGACCAAGCTGGACTTGGCTTGTGGCTGTGCTGCACTAATGGTATGGGACACCCTCATTCTCCTTTTTCTGCTAATGTCCCATCCATAACCAGTCTAAGGGTTGGTCAGTAGCATGAGAAGAATCGAGATGAAACGTCCTGTGCTTTGTTTAGGAATTGCCTAATGCTCATGTTTTGTGCATTTTAGAGCTGTCAGATTTCAACAAATCAGTTTGTTTGTTTTGGTATTGGAAATTGAATTCTGGACCTTTACACTGAGCTACGTCTCCAGCCCTTTTAAAATTATTTTTAAATTTTTGTTGTTGTTGTCCCAGGATCAAACTCAGGACCTTGTGCTTGTGAGGCAGGGCTAAATCCCTGGCCCTATTTTTTTTTTGGTATGGGGGATCAAACTCAGGTAGTTGTGCTTGTGAGACAGGTGGCGGAACCACTGAGCTAAATCCCCAGCCCCCTGGCCCTCTTTTTTAAATTTTGAGACAAAGTCTTGCTAAATCACAGTCAGAAAGTTGCCCAGGCTAGACTTGAACTTGTGATTTTTCTGGCTTCAGTCTCCCAGAATGTTGGGATTACAGCTCTGTGTCACCACACCTGGCTTGTTTTATTTTAAGGTAGTTACAGAGATTACAATAAATGTGTGTGTGGGGGTGGGTTTTTTTTGTGGTGCTGAGAATTAAAGGGCCCTGTTCATGCTGAGTAAGCACTTTATCACTGAGCTACACTCCCAGCCCCGCAGTGTGCACTCTTATCACAGTCCATCATGAAGTAATGTTATACCACCACACAGATAACGTTAGACAAACAAGAGCATAATTCCATTTACCCTCTTTTGTCCTTTATGCTCTTGTATATTTTACTTCTATGTATACTGTAAATCCCATAATAATTGGTATGTTTGCATTAAATATTGAGCAATATTTATTTATTTATTTATTTATTTATTTATTTATTTATTTTGGTACCAGGGATTGAACTTGTGTCCTTGCGCTTGTGCAGCAGGTGGCAAAACCACTGAGCTAAATCCCTGGGCCTATTTATTTATTTTTTATTTTTTTGGTATCAGGGATCAAACTGCTGGGGTCCTTTCCCTTGTGCAGCAGGCTGTGAAACCACTGAGCTAAATCCCTGGCCCTCTATTTATTTTTAAGACAGGGTCTCACTATGTAGTCCAGGCTGGCCTGAAATGCACTATATATCCTTGGCAGTGAACTCTTGAGCCTCCTGCCTTTACCTTCCGAAAGCTGACATTACAGGCCTCTGACACCAGGCCCAATGAACAGTCTTTTTTAGTAATTTATTTTGAAATAACTTTGAATCCACAAAAAAACTGTAGGAACAATACGAAGAACTTCCACACCTCCTTTGCCCAGACCCCCAGTTGCCCACATGCTAATGCACCTGTTTTGGCACTCCTCCTCTTGCTTGTGCATGGGTAGAATACGTGTACACAGCCATGTGGGCATACACACCCTTTACGGTCAGTATTTTTCTGACAATTTGAGCACAAGCTGCAGACCTAATGCTCTAGCACTCTAAGAATTTCAGTGTATATTCTCAAAGAACAAGACTACCCTCCTACATAACTGCCACACAACTGTCAAGAAAATATGGTTATAGCTGGGCATGATGGTACACACCTATAATCCCAGTATGTAATTCCAGTAGTCATGAGGCTGAGGCAGGAGGATCACAAGCTTAACTTCGACCTGGGCAATTTAGTGACTTAATGAGATCCTGTCTCAAAAAACACCTTGGCGTGGTGGCTCATGCCTGTAATCCCAGCACTTGGGAGTGGAGGCAGTAGAATTAGTGTGAGTTTAAGGCAAGCCTGGGTTACATAGTGAGTTCAAGATCCTGTCTCCAAAAGCCAAAAATAGGGCAGGGATTTAACTCAGTGGTTTCACCGCCTGCTGTGCAAGCGCAAGGACCTGAGTTCAATCCCCAGTACCAAAAACCAAAAAAAGAAACCCAAAAGGTAAAGGAGGTATTATTAATAAATGAACCAGAGCCGGGGATTTAGCTCAGTGGTACCACTCCTGCCTCAAAAGTACAAGGTCCTGAGTTCGATCCCTGTTACCAAAATAAAAATAAATGGACCAACATGTGTAAACAGAGACTATCATAGTCAAACTGAGATGCTTGATTGCTTACACCTATGTAGTTTCCCTTTGGAGATAACTTTAGCTTCCAGTTTTGCTCAGGAGAGTCTGTTTTTATGCCTTTTCAGGGTAAAACAGGCCCTATGCAGTGACTAGTGTAGAAGTGTGCAGTGCGGGGCTAGAAACAGAAGTGATGATTTAAATTGTTTTCTGTTATATTTGTGTAGCATTAGCGAACTGCTTTACTGTTGCAAACGAATCTTATTTTATTAATCTGTAAATGTTAACTGCCTTTTTGTATAGTCTCTCTGCCAAGCCTTCAGTTTCTCATTTGCTCAAGACATTTTATTGCTTTTTGAGATGGGGTCTTGCCATCTAGTAAACTTGAACTCTGTAACCTATGCTGGCCTCAAACTCAGTCATCCTGTCTCAGCCCAAGTGCTGGGATTACAGGTGTGTTGGCCATGCCTAGCTTGCTGAAGACATTTTAAAGATCTGGCTGAATATGGGACACTTTCTATTCTTAATACAGGATTTTGGGAGAGCTGAATGCTGTCATAAATTAAGATGGGGCTGGGGATTTAGCTTAGTGGTTGCTGCCTGCCTCAAGAAAAGTGCAAAGTCCCAAGTTCCATCCCAGTTCCAAAATAATAACAATAATAAAATAAGATAAAGATGCTTTTCTGAACTGGGCGTGGTGCTGCACGCCTAAAATCCCAGAACTCTGGGAGGTTAAGGCAGGAGGATCACGGTCTGGGCAATTTAAGGACTTTGTGAGACTCCTTCTCAAAAAAGAAACGGAGTGGGGCCTGGGAATGTAGCTCAGTGTGAAGGCTCTTGCTTCCCCAGTACTGAGAGAAAGAGGAAAAAAAAGAAAACACCTAGGGAGCTCAGTGGCAAAGAATAGCCCCATTCCTCTCTCAGAAATATCCCCCTTTTTCTGATCTTTTACTTTTCCTGCTCTTTTTCATATTAACACTTTCTCTTGCTCTTGGACCTACAAAAATAGAAGCACCATTTGTACGTAGATTATCTGTTCTGGGGAAGTTTCCCATGTTGTGCAACGTGAGTAGGTTTTCATAATGTTTCCTTGATTTCCAAGTCTTTTTTTTTTTTTGAGACAGGGTCTCACTGTATAGTTCAGGCTGGCCTCAAATTTAAGGCAGTCCTTTTGCCTCAGCCTCCCAAGTGCTCGGATCACAGGTGTGTGCTACTACATCTGGCTCAAAGTCTTTCTCTTTGTCAAATCCTTTTGAATTTTTTTCCCTTCAGTGCTAGGGATTGAACCTAGGCCTTTGTGCATGCTAGGCAAATGCTCTATCACTGTGCTGCATCTCCAGCTCTTTTTTATTTATGTATATTTTTAAAATTTTGAGACAGGATCTTGCTAAGTTGCCCAGGCTGGCTTCAAACTTTCATTCCTCCTGCCTCCACCTCCAGAGGAGCTGGGATTGCACCCAGCTTGAAATTTTTTAAAATGATCAGGCATGTTCTGTCTGTAGAAACTGTTAACTTGTTTCAGTGTAAATATTAAGTGGGAAACACTAGGGAGATTCATTTTCAGGTTTGATTTGTTGATCTAATATATAATACCATAGACCTGACCTAACAGACTCTGTGCGCCTAATGCTTAAAAATAATTATACATTGACAGTGGCTTGTGAAATAGTTTCCGCATCCCTTTAACAATCATTGTTCCTCTTCTCTGTCACCACAACTCTCCCTCTCATAGGGTGGTTCGGAATATTATCTGCACATTAGAGTTACCTGGGGAGCTCAGAACACATTCAAATTCCCAGAACAAACCAGAATGTCTGGAGGCGAGGCCCTGCGTCAGTATGTTCAGAGGCTTCCCAAGGGACTCTAAGGTACACCCCAGGCTGAGAGCCACCGTCAGGGCTGCTGAATGGGTGCTGTCCTGGCAGAGATGAGAATTCCCTTCCCAGGCACAGCTCTGCACAGTGGCCATGCATAGCTCTGCACAGTGGCCATGCATTAGTTAGATGGTAGAAACATTTGTCTTTTTTTTTTTTTTCCAGTACTGGAGATTGAACCTAGAGCCTTATGCATTCTAGGCCAGGACTCTACTGAGCTACATACCTAGCCCTTTTGTTTTGTTTTTGTTTTTGTTTTAAGAATTTTACAGTATTTGTCTCTGGCTTGCTCTCCTCCTGCCTCACCCTCCTGTGTAGCTGGGATTACAGGCTTGTGCAACTTCCCCCAAGGAAATGTTTGTCTTTCTTTAGGGAGCTGATAATCTGACACAGGAAGCAGAGCTGTTAAGAATAAACTCATTAAAGTTCAGTAGTAGAAGCACCAATGGAGGTGGTAGCTTGTTGAGGGCTAAGTAATTTGGAGGAAATGACCTGCTTACCAGCCACCCAGCTTACCTGATGTGTAGGTGCTTTGCAAAGCTAGGTGTTTGGGCTCAAGCATTACTGGGGCTTTCTGTGTTCTGTTGCCTACCATAAATTGGAGAACATTTTTTCAGTTTAAATTTTATTTTTGGATAGGTAATACATTTACATGATTCAGAATTAAAAATATGTAGAGAATGTAGAGGGGAAAAAAATCTTCCCATTCTTGACTTCTGACTACAAGTTTCCCACCCTAGAAGGCAAGTTAAGTTCCAAGTACATTCCCTACATAAACAGTATAAACAGATACATATTGGTCGGCATATATATGTGTATATGGGTATTCATTTATTTTCCCCTTTTTTATATAAGTTGTAACAGACTTTAAACACTGTTTTTCAGTTTGCTTTTTTCATTATGATTATCCCATATTGGTGTATAAGGAGCTGTCTCTTTTTTTGCTGTATACATGATCTCCAAAATTTTATCAGTACAACCTCAGTGCACATTTAAGTTTCTTTCTTTGTGTTTTTCTTTGTGCCAAGGATTGAACTTGGGACCCTGAGCTTGTGGGCAGGCGCAGGAACCACTGAGCTAAATTCCCGGCCCTCTTTGTGTCTTTTTCTCTCTCTTTTTGTCTTTCTTCCTCCCTCCCACTTTCCCTCTTCTTTTTTTTTTTTGGTACTGGGGATCCAACTCGGACCTTGTGCTTGTGCTTGCGCAGCAGGGGGGGAAGCCATTGAGCTAAATCCCCAGCCCCTTCCCTCCTTTTCTTTTGGGTGTGGTTCTGCAAGTTGAACCCAGGCTTTGTGCATGCTAAGTAAATGAACTATGTCCCCAGGCCTGTTTCCATCTTTTGATATTACAGATAATACTGTAATGAACTTGTATTCACAGATACCTGAGTCTACCTAATAGCATTTTGCACCCAACCTGCAGGCTGGCCGCTGGCTCTACCAGGTTCTGTGCTGGCATCCTGAGCACTGCCAGGCACTTGACCATCGAGCAGAAGATGGCCGACTATTCAAACAAACTCTACGAACAGCTAGAGCAAGAAACAGGGATCCAAACAGGTAAGCAAGTGATTTGCTGTCTACTGCTCCACCTGACCCCAGACTATTAGTATTTGTGGTATCTTGGGCTGGGGATTTAGCTCAGTGGTTCCACTGCCTGCCTCTCAAGCACAAGGTCCTGAGTTCGATCCCTAGTACCAAAAAAAAAAAAAAGAAAGAAAAAAATCTGTTTACGGTATCTGGTCTTACACCAGGTTTGCCTGTGATTTGGTCCCTGCGACTTGGGTTTTAGTCCAGACTCTGCCACCAGCCAGGGTATTACCATGGAAAAATCACACAGGTTGCTGAGCTGTCTTCTGTTTCCTTATCTCTAAAATGGGGGGATTACAGTCAATGTCTCAGATTTTTTTTAGAGCCTGTATCCTTTTTTTTTTTTTCTTAGTGCTGGGGATTGAACCTAGAGCTTTCAGATCCTGTAATTCTTGGACCATTTCCTGTGTATTTTACTTTAAGTATAGAAAATGGCAACACTTGGCTCCTAAACAAAGAGAAGAATTTAAGTTCAGGTGTTTGACAGTTAAGTCATAGTTTAACCCATTGAACTTCCAATTACTATTATAAAGCACAGACATATGTTTCTTATTATCTGTATAATTAGACTGTTGTATTTTTCTGCAATTTAAGATTTCTATAGTAAACTGGCTAAATATCCAAATTCCTAAACATCGAAGCTTGCTTTGAGGGAATTTCTCCTTCCATGGTAAAACATAAACACTCAGAGTGGAAGTTAATGTAAAATTTGTCTTACTTTGTATTCTGGAATTGACAAAAGGTGGAGAGAGATTCTCATGTGACCCAAGGTTCCTGCTGGTCATGTGGTCATAGGAAGTCCCATCTCCATAGTTCCTGGCTGGGCTTGGATGTCCTCCATTCCCCTAGGACCCCGTGCTACTTCTGTCTTCTACATCTCCGCCTTGGTGTCCTTGAGTCCGGTGCCAGTGGGGCCCCCTTTGTTGCAGCGGGAGCTCCCACCACCAGCCGGGCCGAAGCAGCAGGCTTGGAGGGCGTGCTCTCAGGAGGCGTGGGTGGTGGCTTGGCCTTGGTCCACATGATGTTCCATCTGGGTCACCCGCTGGCCGGGCTGGTGGCGTCGATGGGGAGGCGCCGAGGCCGGGGCACCCACATTGCTACGTCCAGGGAAGGAGCAGGAGCGGCAGAAGCTCCAGCTGCACCACAGAAGCTCCAGCTGCGCCACGGGCCTGAGGGCACCTTTCTGTGTAATTGGAAAGGGAATTGCTAAAAGCTAAATAGCACTGCAGTAAGAACTGTTTCAAGAACAGGATGCTAATCAGTGTGCACACCTGTAATCCCAGCACTCGGTGGGCTGAGGTAGGATTGTTGTGAGTTTGAGACCAACCTGGGCTACACAGCGAGTTCAAGGCCAATCTGAACCTAGTGAGACCCTGTCTCAAAAAATAATAACAAGGTGGAAAGAAGGTCTGTCATTTTGTCTCAAGGTGATGGATTAACCAGATGCCAGAGCCACACCCTCCTGCTTTCTCAGCTAATGAAACCACCTTGCCTTGCCTCACCCTCCTCCCTGCCCTCTGGTGGTGGCATCAGACGACTCCCTTCAGTGTCAGTGAACTTGGTCTCACTTCCTCTTGAGACAGGGGCTCTGGAGGAAACTTAGTAAGAGTGGTTCTGCTGTGTTGTCTGAGGCTTTGAGGAAGATGCCTGCTGCACACTGGGCAGGTGGGGAATAGTCCCTTTCAGTTAGATTGAGTTTGATGGCAACAGGCTGCTTCAGTTATTACATCAACCAGGCTTTGAGCTGGCAGAGTCCACAGAATGGCCTAGAAATGGAGCAGCCGACTTCCGGTCTGCTAGTTCATAATTAGTGTTTTGCTGAGCTTGCCATTACCATTTGGCTCCATTTCCAGAGTCCAGGTCCTAGGCTTCTTCTTAGACTAGCCTGGTGTTAGTTCTGGGTGACAGCCTAGAACCCTTGATTTGTCCTGACTGTTTTTGATACCTGTGGGACAGTGGGAAGTGGGGATGGGGAACAGTTAGGAAGTCTGGCGAGGGGGTGTAAAGCTATTAGCCATGTCTATCACCCCCATTGTAGTACCACTGACTCAGAGCCCGGGTCTTCAGTGACAGAGCGTTCTGGTAACCAGCGCTGCTGTGCACCTCTGTGCACAACCATGAGAATTGTTACTACCTTTTTGTGTGAGTGTGTGGTACTGATGATTGAACACAGGACCTTTGCACATTACCAGTCATAACACATAGGCGGTGGTAATTACCTCTGTAATTGTTGACAGGGACCAGAGAATAGCTCCTGAATCCTTTTCTGTTGTAAAGTAAAACTCATAGCGTGGTTAGTGCACAGATCCCAGGCCAAGGCCATTGCTGAGGCTGGTAGATCTACTATTTCTCAAAACCAGGGTCTAAGATTCAGTTCCTTCGAACTGGGACCTAGTCATGTCAGTGAAGGGCATATTTATCTGCAGATTTCAAAAGAAATTACTTAAATTATCCTGACTATACTTCTGTTTTAAAGCTATCTGATGGATTCATTTTCTTCACAAGAACTAAGACCCATTAGATTTTAGGATTGCCATTGACCTAAGTGTAATAATGGTCATATATCAGGACTGTCAGTTCAAACAGCAGAAACCTGCTCTGGCTAACAGGTAAAAAGGAGCCTGTTGGGAGCCTGATGGGCACCTGTGGAGTTGTGCGGGAAGCAGCGCGACACCCATGATGTGGGGACACTGCTGCCCCCGACGTGAGACCCCCAGTAACCCGCTCACTGGCTCAGGGCCAAGTGTGCTGGCAGGGGTCCAGCTGGCTGAGCTGAGGTCACAGGCTTGTCGTTTTGCTGTGCTGGGAAAAGGAGGAGGCTTGGCCTTCTGATAAATAATATTAGAAGTGGCTTTTGCCAAGGGTTAAACTCCCTCTAAGACTAGAGGCAGAAAGGGGAACTTGCTTAAAAGGAGCGAGGATGGGTTCTAGGTCCCATCTCTACCTCCCAGATATTTTTTAGCCAGTATGCCAGTAGGGTTGCTGTGAGTTTGAGGCCACCCTGGGCTACATAGTGAGGTTTGTTTTTTTTGATACCAGGGATCGAACTTGGGTCCTTGTGCTTGCACAGAAGGCAGTGAAACCATTGAGCTAAATCCCTGGGCCCATAGTGAGTTAAAAAAAAAAAAGGGCCGGGGATTTAGCTCAGTGGTGCTGTCACCTGCCTCACAAGCGCTAGGTCCTGAGTTCTATCCCCGCTACCAAAAAACCCCAACAACAAATATTTTTTTAGTCGTGATATCATTCACCTTCATTATGAGTGATTTTTATGTACACTGGAGTCTCATTTGATTTTTGCAAAAATATGAGCTGAGAATGTTTATGTATCTGGTGTAAATTTCCACTAGAAGCTTGGAGGAAGCTGACTTTCATGCCCAGGATTCACAGCAGGTCTAACCTGTAATCTAGTGGGCCCAGTATATCTTAATCTGGTCTTAGTTCTGTGATTTTTCTTACAGGTTACATAAGGACAGGCTCGGTCTTTCTGGCCCAAACACAGGACCGGCTGATCTCCTTGAAGCGCATCAACTCAAGACTGAAGTACGTAAGAGGCTAGACAAGTCTTGACTTTACCAAAGTGAATTCTGCCAAAGGGCCCATGCATGTCATTGTCCCCTTGTGTTCTGTGGCAGTGTTATAGGCATCCCTTCTGAGATCATCTCCCCCAAGAAGGTGGCTGAACTGCACCCTTTCCTCAACGTGCACGACCTGGTGGGGGCCATGCACGTTCCTGAGGATGCGGTGGTATCCTCCGCCGATGTGGCCCTGGCCCTGGCAAGTGCTGCCTCCCAGAATGGTGAGCGGGGTTTTGCGTTTCCCTAACATGGATTTGGGAGGAAGAAGTTATTTAAGAAAATGTCTGCAGTACACAATGACATCAACTCAAATTGAAGAAACTATCCTCATTAGGCTATGCAGCTTCCTGTTTTTGAATACTGGATCTCCCAATTTTTTTTTTTTTTTTTTTGGTACGGGGATCGAACTCGGGTCCTTGTGCTTGTGGAGACCAATTTTTAAATATAGTATCTGTTAACAAGCATTTTTTCTCATGGACACATTTTTTGGGAACTGCTTTTAGGGCTGATTAATGTATCTCAGATTAATGTAACCATCTCCTAGGGCTCGAGATACTGCAGGGTTAAAACATACCTTGACATCATGCCCAAGAGTTGGAATGAATGAGGGGAAACTTATTAGTGGCCAAAGTGTCACATACTTTGGATAAACTGATTCATGAAGTAGACAGATTAGGTTAGGAACCCCTGTTTAAACTCTCTTCCTATCGCTTCTTGGCCTTTTGGCTAAGATCAAGTGTAAACTCTCTTCCTTCTGTTCTCTATTTGAGGATCTCAGAATTTACTGTATATTAGCCTGTTCTTAAGTTAACATGCTCTTTTCAGTCTTGGGCAGTACTTATTTGTATCGTGTCAGGACATGATTCCTAGGAGGTTTTGTTTTTGAAGTTAAAACACTAACCTACTTCTTTAGTATTTCTTTGGGTAGAGAATGTGCTGCAGATGTCTTAATTCTGGACAGCAGATGATGTACCAACTCTCTTTACCTTGGGACAGGTGTTCAGATTTATGACCGAACAAGTGTTCTTCATGTAATGGTCAAAAAAGGTCAAGTTACTGGTGTGGAGACAGATAAAGGACAGATTGAGTGCCAGTATTTTGTCAACTGTGCTGGTCAGGTAGGTTAACAGCAATACCGGGTTTTTGGTTTTTCTATTTAACTTGGATTTTTTTGATGTCTTTTTTTTTTCCTTTTTAAAAAATATCTCCAGTGTGAGGGATTTAACTCAGTGGAATCGCTGCCTGCCTCACAAACACAAGGTCCTGGGTTTGATCCCCGGTACCAAAAAAAAAAAACATCTTCAGTTCTGGGGATTGAACCCAGGGATCACTGAGCTATATATCCCCATAACCTCAAACTTTTGATCCTCTTGCCTCAGCCTCCCATGTAGCTGGGATTTCAGGTGTGCATCACCACTCCTAGCCTTTTGTGTCTTTTCTGTGGTTTTATAGTTCATTCTAAACCTAGCAGATAACATACTAGGCTATTTTATTGTGTCAGGACCATAGGTTCAGCTTCCAGAATACTAAGCTGCTTCAACTTTTGGAACAGATTGGTCCCTTTCTTTCACTCCATAGTCTTAAGGTAACCTAGAAAATGGTTTTTTTGCTATGTGAAGTTCATTTAATGATTGGTATTTGAGGCTTGTAGTTGAAAGCCTGTGATTTATTAAAAGGGTCTCCTTTGACTGGCTTGTCAGTCTGTCTTCCTTTGAGTAAAGTCATTTTTAGAGTTTAAAAAGTGTTGTTCCCCAACCAAATACTTAACTAAGTAAAGCAGGCTGAATCTGAGCTTCTCACACTGCCACTGTAGCAAAAGCACACAGAAGCCACTTGAAATTAACCTCTTTTCAAGAGGCTGACCTTGCTCATTTGTGTTTGTGTTCTTCTCCCACCCCCAATCACTCTGTCCATTTGTAGTGGGCATACGAGCTGGGTCTGTCCAACGAGGAGCCGGTTAGTATCCCGTTACATGCCTGTGAACACTTCTACCTTCTGACTCGCCCCTTGGAGACCCCTCTGCAGAACAACACACCAAGTGAGGACTTGTACTTTTTTACAATCCTATCTTCTTGCTAGTATCCTGTCCTCTGAAAAGGAAGACTTTCTACTAAGGACAGATCGTGCCTGAAAGAGTCTTTTCTGGAGTATGTTACAGGGCAGTAGGCCCCATTCTAACTTTTCTGTGATAATTCTCTATGAAAGGATGGCCCAAGCAGGCATACCACTAAGCAGTTTTTTGCTTTTGTTTTTTGCCAGCTTAATTTTAGTTCCAAACAGGTCATTGAGACTATTTGAGATATAAATTTGAGTTTTTAACTTGATGCTATCAGGTGTAGAAATGTTGTAGGTAAAGCATAAACTTGGGTAGTTGAGTGGCTCCCAGTGCTGGAGGAGAGGGTCATGATGTCGTGTGGAAGGTCTTACACCTCCAAGGGGCTCTGTGGTCCCCCTGCCTGTGAGACTCACTTGGCACAGTGGCAGTCATGCAGTTCAGGAGTGAGGGCTTGGCAAAGCATCCCGTTCCTGATGAGGGTAAGGACAGTCAGAGAACCTGTCTCCTCTGTAAACCTGTGTGGGATGACCCACCCGTGGGCCTCCAAAGGTGTGTGAAAGCTAACGGTGCCTGTGTGGATCGGATGCCATTTCATTAGTAGCTGTTCATGGGTGTTGTGTTTTGTTTCTGTCCATTTGGAAAGCTGGTTGCCTCTAAATCATTGTTTTTCTCTTGTACCTCCACTCCCTTGTCATTTCTTGTCCTCAGCTATCGTGGACCCTGATGGAAGAATTTATATTCGGAACTGGCAGGGTGGCATCTTGTCTGGGGGCTTTGAGAAGAACCCGAAACCTATTTTTACCGAGGGCAAGAACCAGCTGGAAATTCAGAATCTGCAGGAAGACTGGGATCACTTTGGTATGTGAAGTAGATCATCTGGGGATGGCGGTACATCCCTGTAATTCCAGCACTCAGGAAGGTGAGGGAGGAAGATTGCTGTGAGTTCAAGGCCAGCCTGGGCTGCATAGTGAGTTCAAGGCCAATCTGAATTGCATAATGAGACCCTGTCTCAAAAAAACAGTAATGCCTTCTGTTTGTTCAGATGTTATATTTTTCAAAGGATTTTCACGAATAGTTCGATTTATAACAACTGTTAGGTATAAAAGGAGTTTCAGAGGGCAATCTACAAAAGAAATGAACAAAAAGGAAAAGGGGGACAGTGTACAGAGTTTGCCTGGTCTTGGCTTTTCATTTATTTACCTAAAAATCATTGCTAGAACTCTAGGCTTGAAAGAGACCTTTTTTCAGGTAGGACTTTGTATTAAAGAACTTTTTAAAAGAAAGGATTGTTTGATAATGTGGTCCTTTATTAAATTTTAAAATAATTTGATTCATTGAATAATTAACATAGTCACATGGATCCAAGTTCTAAAGATATGAGAGCCTCTGATGAATTTCCCTCTGTCCGTGATGGACTTTTTTTTTCTTCTGCAGTGCTGGGAATCAAACATAGGCTTAATGCACACTAGGTGAGGGACATGACATTCCTCACCCTGTGGACTTTTTTTTTTTTTTTTTTTTTGGTGCCGGGGATCGAACTCAGATCCTTACGCTTGCGCAGCAGGCAGTGGAACCACTGAGCCAAATCCCCAGCCCCTAGCCTGTGGACTTTTTAAAAATAATCTTGGGCTGGGAATTTAGCTCAGTGGCACAGCGCCTGCCTCGAAAGCACAAGGTCCTGAGTTTGATCCCTGGTACCAAAAAATAATAATAATCTTGAGGAAAAAATAAAACTACTTTTGGGAGATTTCAGAATTTCATACTAGAAGGAGTGGAGTGATCAGACCTTTCCCTCCCCTGCTGCCCATCCAGCACCCACCAGACAGCTCCAGCCTGATTCATCTATTGTCACTGTCCCACAGGATTATGGCCAGATGACAAATTTACTCTTCATAGGGGGGCTCTGTCTTTTGTAACTATTCTAACAGGGAAACGTTGCTTTTTTTTTTTCTTTTGTACTGGAGGTTGAACCTAGGGCCTTCACACTGAGCTACATCCCCAGCCCTTTATTGTTTTTTTTTGTTTTGTTTTGAGACAGTGTTACTAAATTGTCCAGGCTGGGCTCCAACTTGCATATCCCTGCCTCAGCCTCCCAGAATGCTTGGATTACAAGTGTGCATCACCAAACCTGGCTGAAAACATTGTTTTTCATTAAAAGTTCCCCAAATGCTATGTAAAGAGCCTTTCCATTCCTGCTGAAGTCCTTTGATATTACTGTCTCTACCCCCATGTATTACTTGCTAGCCTGTACCACCTTTCCTTTCCACATATTTTTCTCAGTCTTTATGCTAAGCATTGTGCAGATGTGTTCTGCAATTTCACCAAGCTTTCTTCTTTTGATAAAAGGCCCAACTGGGTCTTAGAAAAATTCCTTCCAGGAGACTTTCTGAGAGGAGGATAAGGGCTTGGAACAAGTTTCTAAACTCCCTAAAGCTGAGGGCTGTGTTGGGTTTGTTCTCGTCATTCAGAGCCCCTACTGAGTTCCCTCCTGCGTCGGATGCCAGAACTGGAGATGCTGGAGATCCTGAAGCTGGTGAACTGTCCCGAGACCTTCACGCCAGACATGAGGTGCATCATGGGCGAGTCCCCTGTGGTCCGTGGCTACTTTGTCCTGGCAGGGATGAACTCGGCCGGCCTGTCCTTTGGTGGAGGGGCTGGGAAGTAAGTCTTCTCACAGTGTCAGCTCTGAGCTTCTGCCCTGCTAGGATTACCTCTTGTTAGTACCTTGTGTAATATATTTAATCTACATGTTAATAATAAGGTATATAGTTTATAATAATGATGATATATATCAAATAATTTGGGTTGTTTCTTTCAAAGGAGTCACCATGAGAAGTTCTCCCCGCACTCCAGAAGTGTCACTCTGGAACCTGTTTTGAGACTCCTCTTTTGGAGTCAGCCATAGAGCCCGTGTTCTTTCATTAACAGTGTTGGTCCTTTGAGTATATATTTAAGTTTAGAAGTAGCCAAGTGTGGGGAATGAGGTTGGCAGTCAAGCTGGGTAATATGCTTTTATTTAAAATTTATGTACTAATAAAAATGAAATAAGCCAGTCACCAAGGGCTGCAAATACTGTGGAATTCCATGCGTGTGAGATCCCTAGAATGGTCACATTCCTAGAGACAAAACTCAGCAGTAGCTGCCAGGAGATGAGGGACTGAGGAGTCACTGTAAACAGGTACAGAGTTTCAGTTCTGGAAGTGATGGTGGTGATGGTTACACAGCCATGTATACTTAATGCCACCGAACAGCAGCCTGAACAATAGATAATGTTTATATGTATAATCGATCCTCGAACAATTTGGGGTTTAGGGGTGACAATGCTTGCACATAGTTGAAAATCCACTTAGGACATAGATACATACATATTGCTTTAGCCATACTGAGGATTAAACCCAGGGCCTTGGCCCTGAGCTACATCCTCAGCCATTTTTAGTTTTTATTTTTTTCAGACAAGTTCTCACTAAATGCCCATACTGGCCTCAAATTTATGCTTACAAGTGTGCACCACAGTGCCAGGCTTGTAGATTTTTATTAGAAATTAAAAATGAAGTTCTGAAAAATTTCAACCTGACCAGGTACAAAACAATTTAAAAACCTTTAAAGGTATAGTGCAAAAGGACAGACTTTTAAAAAAACCCATGTTAGGGGACCGGGGATTTAGCTCAGTGGTTCTGCCACCTGCCTCGCAACCGCAAGGTCCCGAGTTCGATCCCTGGCACGCCCCCCCCCCCAAAAAGGTGCAAGGTCTCAAGTTCGATCCCTGGTACCAAAAAAACCCCTAAAAACCCTTGTTAGGGCCGGGGATGTAGCTCAGTGACGCCTCGTCTGTCTGGCAAGTGCAAGGTCCAGAGTTCAATTCCTGGTACCGAAGCGGGGGAGGCCCATGTTGTTGTTAACTAGGAGATGTATTTAGGTAAAATAACAATTCCGTGCTGCAGAGATAATGCAAATAGTTATAGTTGTCTGGTCACTGGGCAAAAAGGAAGCACTTCAGGTCTTCCATTTTGATCTTGTGTTCGTTCTGTATTTGTTTCTTGTTGGGTGGCGGATGATGGAGAAGGTAAAATGGCATTTACTCAGCCCTGCCCTGCTCAGCCTCGAAAACCCTCAGCTTCTCAGCTGGTGGACTGGCTGCTTTTGCCTCTTTGCCATCTTATGGTTTGGGGTTTTCTGAGCACCTGCATGGGTAGTTGAGGTGGCTGCTGATCTCAGGTCTCCTCTCCTTGACTATCTTTATTCTCTTCTTTGCTGTCCTGTATGCTGACTATGGCAAGGAGGGACCCTGCAGAATTGTGGTCTGTAATCCTATATATCCTGCCTCGTTGGTCTGCCTTGTTCCCTGAATGCTGCTCATTAGCACCCTGTACCACCTGGCCCTGGACAGCGGGGCTGGCAGACTGTGGTCCACACCTTTTGTCCATCTCTAGAGTGCTCCCAAATCCCCATCTGTTCCTCACGCCTCTGTTCTGCCATGAATAGCATCTAAGATGGCTCTGGTCTGCTTCGTACTTCCTGTGTTGAGCCTGAAGTCCCCCCAACCACACTCCATTTGCTACCTCTGTCCCTTTTTCTCCTTCCACATCAAACTCTCCAGCCTCTCAATCTCCTACACTGGGAAGGGACTTCCTGGGGTTCTTTAGGGCAGGTTAGGCTCAAAATACATCTTTCTTGTGTCAGTCTGTTGAATCTGTTGATGAAACCATATCCACTTCTTACATTGAAGCATTTTACTGTTACTTTTCTGGGGTGATCTTTTTGTACCTACCTGCCAGCACCCCCTTGAGGCCACCAGGCACCACTCCCAGCACAGCTTGGTATGGGCAGAGCTGAGGGTGGACCCCTGCTGGGACGTGGCCTCCTGTTCTTGGTGTGATGGTGGTGACAGTCTGCTGTGGCTGCGGCAGTGGCAGCTTCTCCTGGGCGGTGGTCGCTGGCCCAGCACCCAGAGCAGGTTGCTGAGTACACTGGGCTCTGCTCCCAGTCGAATTCCTTGTGTAACATTTGGTTCCCCAAAAGTTAACTACTCATAGCCTGGTGTTGACCAGAAGCCTTACTGACAATGTAAACCGTCAGTTAACACTTTTTGCGTGTTACATGTAAATAGTAAAAAGTGCAAGAGAACTAGGAGATAGCTTTTTTTTTTTTTTTGTACCGGGGATCGAACCCAGGACCTTGTGCTTGCAAGGCAGACGCTGGAACCACTGAGCTAAATCCCTGGCCTGGAGATATTTTTACTGTGGTTCTAGGTACTCTGGGTACTTACAAGAGATGAGTAGCATCTCATTATTATTATTTTTTTTTTTTTTGGTATCGGGGATTGAACCCAGGACCTTGTGCTTGTGAGGCAAGTGGTGGAACCACTGAGCTAAATCCCTGGCCCATCTCGTGATGTTTTAAGTGGATATTCCCAACACTTGTGCTCACCCCAGTAGTACAGGACAATGCTATGAAATTATCACACTGTTAGTGAAGTGGATCTATGCAGTTACAGTTTAATACTACATCTTTATGTTTGTTTACATTTCTCTTGACTGCGAATGGCACCATGTATGACCTGTTTAGGAGTGTAAATATTGACAATTTTTAACTTTAGTAATAGATTTGTATCTATTTTGTGGTAGTAAATGATAAAACAGACATATATAATGCATTCATGACATATCTTTTTTTTATTAATTTTTTCAATATATCTAGATTACGTGGTTCTTCAGGGAGTTTTATCAAATAGTTTGTAAAGTCTGCCCCCCCCAAAAAAAATCTGCACATAAGTGGACCTGTGCAATTTAAACCTGTGTTGTTCAGGGATCAACTGTATTTTTATCATAATTAAAAAAATTTTTTTGAGTAAGGCCAGTTTTCTTGAGTGAACAGCTCTTGCAGAACAGCTCTGAAAAGTCACAGTAGCTAATGAGAACATATGGAGTGGGGGGTGTGATCAGATAACAGCATGTCCCAGGTGACCCCAACATCTGGTGTGTAAATTAAAGCACACATGTATGTGTGGTCTTGTTTCTTCATAGATGTGGCTTATGTCTTAAACACTTTCTGGGAACCTGATTAGCGCTAAAATCCTCCTAGTGGTTCTGTGATTGTAGTACTTGGATCCCTGTTTGTTTATTCCTGAAAAAAATCTGTGACCGGGCCGGGGATTTAGCTCAGTGGTTCCGCCACTTGCCTCGCAAGCACAAGGACCCAAGTTCGATTCCTGGTACCAAAAAAAAATAAAATAAAAGTAAAAAATCTGTGACAACATAAGCAATTTTGATTCCACTGGTTATTTTTCCACTTTGGTGCTTTCTATCACTGAGCTCCATGCCCAGCCCTCTGCTGGTTCTTGATTTGTAGAATATTGTTTTTATTTTCTTGTGTATCACACCTGAGGCAAGTTGGAAGAAGGCAAGGAAAGGGGAAGGAGAGCAGAAATGAGTGCTTTGTATTCACACAAGAAGTGCTTTCTTAGCTTGCTAGCAAATGACAGATGGATGAACATTTTTATCTCGTGTATCACATTTGAGGCCCAACATTTGTCCCCCATCCCAACAGGTACCTTGCTGAATGGATAGTACATGGTTATCCTTCAGAAAACGTCTGGGAATTGGACTTGAAACGCTTTGGAGCCCTCCAGAGCAGCCGTACCTTTCTGCGCCACCGGGTCATGGAAGTCATGCGTAAGTGAAGCTTTACCCTAGCTGCACCTAGCTGCAGGCATCTTTCTGGTGGCCTGTTTTATCATTCACAAGGCAGATTTTTCCCCAGTTCTTTAATAATTGCTTTGAGTTGGGCATCTGATTTCAGGCCTGGATGGGGCCTCATGCCCCATGATATTTACAGAACATTGTTAGTATATTGAACCTTGTTTACTTTTGGGAACAGGAAAATACAGTAGGGTTTACAGGTGCTATGCAGAGGCTTCCTGTATATTCCTAGCAATGTCTCCTTTCCAGTTTGCCTTGAAAGGCTCTATGATGCTCCCATGCTCCCCACTCGTGGGTTTTGTTTTCAGTGTTGGGGATCATGTCCAGGGCCTCACATATGCTAGGCAAATGCTCTAACACTGAGCTACATCTCCTGGCCCCCTGTCCCACTTGGATTTTGAGATCACTGTTTTCTTTCCAAGGCAGAGGATTTGCCAAGGTTTTCTCAGATCTTTGGGCTTCTCTGAGTGACTTTTGTCATCAAACTGTCATATGCTAGCAAGCTAAGAAAGCATTTCTCATGTGAATATAAAGCATTCATTCCTGCTTTCCTTCTCCTTGTCCCCTTCCAACTCTGAAGTATTGGCCTCTTCATTTTAACTTGTTCCACTTTGTCTTTATTTTCCAGCAAGCCTTTAGAGACAGCTTTTGTATCAGAAATTAAATTACGTGGGCTCTGACAAGTTATTTCATTTTCCTACACTGAGGAACTATTCTCAGACTTTGCTAAATAATTTATAAATATTTGGGGCATGTTTATGCTCAAGAGTAAGTTTTTACATTGGCTGTGCCCACCAAATGCACTGCTGCTGCCTTAGTAGTGGAATGACATTCACGGTGAGGCCTTTGGATGCCCTTTAACACCTGAACACTTGCTTTGCCTTGTAGCACACAACTTCCATCCATGGGAGATGAAGGACTAGCAGCAATATGTCTAACTGCTAAGGTTAATTTTAGCAAATATCTTAGCTAAGATGTTCAACTATTGTAATTTGAGGTTTCTCCACCAATTGTTACAATAGAACGTGTGCAAATTATAATTGCGTTTGAGCTTCTCCTTGGTGATGTGACACTTTCAATGGCCTTTTTTTTTGTCTCAGAATTTATAAGCATGATAGAATAGGTTTTAGAACCTAAAGTACCATAAGAGGTGATAAGTTGTCACAATACAAGAAATTTAGTGTGGCCTCCCTCTCCTTAATCTCCCAACCTTCCCCACCCCTAGTGTACCTTTGGCTTGGACTGAGGTCAGGTCTTTGGAAGAGACTAGAGATCATATTCTTTCTGGCTCTTTTTACTTATTGCTGTTGCAGATTGGACATTAAGAGAAATGAATTCTGACCCTAGCTTTGTTATGTGAATAATGTCACTGGGACAATACATTGCAACCTCTCAGATTTCAGAGCCACCAAATCAAGGTATGCTATGTACCCTTTCACTTCAGAAATGGGTTAAATATTAAGAGGAAGAAATGTCTGTAATAGGTCTGAGATCCCAACAACACAGGCAAAGATTCAAGTGCCATTTTTTCACACTTCATCATCACCTGTGTCTCACTTAGATATTGCCTTCATCTGTGCTATGGAGTTGAGCAAGGTTTCCCCTTGGCTTCTCTCCTATCATTTCTTTGGAAGTATAATTGTGACTGGAGAGCATGAGTCACTAGCTGGATAGCTTTACACAGGATAATCAGGATAATGCCAGCTCTGCAGCACTGTCCATCTGGAGCATGCCTGTAGTACTGGGTGATACTGACAGATTAGGCCATATCAGCTGCAAATTATGCTCTCTTCAATAGGAGTGACTCCAGGGTCTAGTGGATATTGGGTACTCACCTCCGAGTGTGTGACTCACAGCTTTGACAGACTGTTCTCATCTGTTCTAGCTTTGATATACGACCTGAAGGTTCCCCGTTGGGACTTCCAGACTGGTAGGCAGCTGCGTACTTCTCCGCTGTATGACCGGCTGGATGCACAAGGGGCCAGATGGATGGAGAAACATGGATTTGAGAGGCCAAAGTACTTTGTTCCACCTGACAAGGGTAAGAAGTATCATTTTTGTTCATTTTTTCTTGGTCTGGATATTTGTAAATGTATGTAGCTAGGCTATATTCCTGGAAAAACCACAAAAAGGACTGCTAGGCCACACTAGATGGTAGGAGTCCCCAGTGTACAGTCCCTCCTTTCCTTTGCACTTGTTTTTTTCTGTTCTGTAGACCTCCTCGCGTTGGAGCAGAGCAAGACTTTCTATAAGCCAGACTGGTTTGACATTGTGGAGTCTGAAGTCAAGTGCTGTAAGGAGGCAGTGTGTGTTATCGACATGTCCTCCTTCACAAAGTTTGAGATAACAGTAAGTGTTTGGGAATCCAAATAACAGACTGGAAAACTGCATATTTACTGAATGCCTCCTGTATTTCATCTGTCACTTCAAAACGGATTCTGTAAGAACTGTGGTCTATTCAGTGTTTCATTTGTATACTACATTTTTCTGAATTTTTAGCTCCTTTTGTCTGGTTTTTAGTTTGCATAGAGAGGCCCACTGACCATGAGAATCAGTAGTAGCTTTCGCCAGAGCTTCGTACATTGAGTAAATCTACAGTTATTATAGCATGGGTGCTGGCTCGTGGGATTTCCTCAGAAAGACTCAGACTGTTGGCCCTGCAACCACCCAGGTGCTTTTGTGCTCACTGCCCCTGCTTCATTCCCTCCCCTCCAGTCCACTGGGGACCAGGCTTTAGAAGTTCTGCAGTTCCTCTTCTCCAACGACCTGGACGTGCCCGTGGGCCACATCGTGCACACAGGCATGCTCAACGAGGCTGGGGGCTATGAGAACGATTGCAGCATCGCACGCCTGAGCAAGCGCAGGTGAGGTCACCACCGCCACTGGCCCCGACACGCTGCTCCCCAAAGTATTCTGTAAGCAGAGCAGAGCCCCTTGAGCACTTCTCCAGGAAGTCTGCTTATCCCAGGGACTGAACAGCCAGGTCATTAATTCATGGCCAAAGCATTAGGCCCTACACAGTAATCAGCAAGGACCCGGCAAACCATGTCAGAGCCAGTGGAGAAGTTAGTCACCATCCTGGAGAGTATGCCTTCCTTCATGTAGTAAGTCTGGATACTTTCTGGGCACTAACAGGAAGCCAGAATTTTGTTTTTCGTTATGTAAGTTAAGAGATCATTCTGCAGTATTCTCAGAGGAGCTTTGAAACTAGATGAGAACTTGCTTCCTGATCCTCTTTCTGCTACCTGGTTTTAACACTCTCGGGGTTTCCCTTTCAGTTTCTTCATGATCTCTCCAACCGACCAACAGGTCCACTGCTGGGCCTGGCTCAGGAAGCACATGCCCGAGGACAGCAGCCTGGTGCTGGAGGATGTCACCTGGAAGTACACAGGTGAGGGCCTTTGGGCCGTGGGTGGGAGGCAGCAGACACAGGTGTGTCAGAAATGTCAGAGTGAGCATAAGAGAGGGGCTTAGGTTGCAGATAGCTGACCTCTAATACGTCCCACTTCATTATCAAAGAAGTGTAACATGAGTGGTTTGGTTTCTATTTATTTTGTTTATTGTTACCTCCCCTACAGCTAGCATGTGGGATTGTGTTTATTGGATGAATGAGTCAAGAATATTAAGAATTTTTATATTACCTGAGTAAGTCTTCAAGATTTCCCTTTACCTTTTGTTTCAAAGAGTACACAGTTTTTGTTTTGTGACAAGAGTCTCACTATGTAGTCCAGGCTGGCCTAGAACTCATAGCAATCCTCCTGCCTCAGCCTTCCGAATGCTAGAATTACAGGCATGTGCCATCATGCCCAATTTGAGTACATAATTTTGAAAGATGAGTTAATCTCCTGCTTCTCTTTCTCAGCAGTCCTGTTTGGGGAGTGCCTCCCTCCTCTTCCACCCTGGTTAAGGGTCAGCCCCTCCCTTCCTCCCTCATGAGCCCACGCTGTACCCTGCCAGTGTTGATGTTTCCAGGCCTCACTCTTGATTTGTCATTAGTAGCAAATGGGATTCACTCCTTGCTACCAAGTTGCCAAACTACAGAATCTTACTGAAAGTTGTGTTCTAGCCTGTGCATAAGTTGCTGTTACAGACATCAGAGATCAAAGCGAGTGAACAGCTGTCCTCTATGTACTGAGTTGGAATTGGGATTTTTTTCCAGCTGTGCTCGGAAGAGAACAAGAATCTAGGTGGGGAGGGCAGATGGGAGGTGTGGCCAGCCCTGAAGGTGTCTAACTGGCCAGAATTTGGGCTCCTGACCCTGTCTCACTGGAGTCGTCTTGTAAACCAGGGTGAGCTCAGTCAGCAGCTGCAGCCAGCAGTCCTGTTAGCAGAGGTCTGTGGGCCAGAATCTGGGGGCTTGGTGTCCATGCTTGGCTTGCCTAAGCAGGACACTCCTGTGGTCCTGCCTGCCACTCAGGCCTGGCCATTGGTGGCGCATCCTGAGCCAACCTTTTCCACTGGGCCAGCAGTTCACCTGGAGAAGCTGGACATCTCTTGTTCTTTTCCATGTAGCCCTCAACCTGATTGGCCCGCGAGCTGTGGATGTGCTGTCTGAACTGTCCTACGCCCCTATGACTCCAGACCACTTCCCGACTCTGTTTTGCAAGGTGGGTGCTGGTAAAGTTCTTTTTTTAAAAGGACAGAGTTTTTTGGGGGGGTGGGGAACAGTTATTTCTTTTACAGTGGTGACAGATACATATTCTTACTGTATTTTTAACTCCAACAAAGTGTTCTGACCTTTATTAAGTGAACAAAATGACTGAGTAATTCTTTTACTTTTCACCTTTGAGGCTCTCCGTTGCTTAGGAGGGAATCTTTTTTTTGGTACCGGGGATCGAACTCGGGTCCTTGCACTTGCGCAGCAGACGATGAAACCACTGAGCTAAATCCCCGGCCCAGTAGGAGGGAATGTTTGAAGTGGGCTTCTGTCTATGGGTTCTGTTGCAGTGGATTAAAATTTCAAGTTAGAAGATTACATCACTGACACTATTCAGAGGAGAAATGGTATAGCTGAATCCCTAAACAACTTACATATTTTCTTTCCTGTTAGTGGCCACTATAGCTGAATGGAACAAATTGTAACAATAAAAGCAATGATGATTGAGTAGCAGCTGATTACCAAGAACCCAGTGGACACGTCTCTGGCTTCTGGAACACTCAACTGCGGGCCAGTTACCAAGGGACTCATAAAGTTCAAACCAGATTTGGGATCCACCTTACCAGTTATTTCTAGTTTCCTCTTTTCTCTGAGGCAGAAAGAAAGCAACAGAAAACCCCACACTGGCTCTGAGCAGACCCCTCCAGGAATTCCTTCGGCCCACTTGCACCTGACATGCGCCCTTCCTGTGGAAGCAGCCTGCCTCTGTGCATTCCCATACTCACTGCTTTCCCTTTACAGGACAGGGACTGAGTCGGTGGCCCTGCTAGGTACCCGAGCTGCTGTAGCAGTTTTGAAAACGAAGAGCTAGGTAACAAATGTGTTCAGTGCGCACCAGGCATCATCATTTTTGTTTTTTTGTACCGGGAACCAAACTGAGGGACTTGCACTTGCCAGGCAGACGCTGCACCACTGAGCTACATTCCCAGCCCCAGGCTTCATCTTTTGTATGGCAGGTGCCAAGGATTTGTCTGTAGATTCCTCCAGAGGAGACACCTGGCCAGTCCAAACTTTTAGCAGGACTTGGGAAAGAAAAAGTCCATGCTTATTAAAGACAGGGCTTGGGGCCGGGGATTTAACTCAGTAGTTTTGCCGCCTTCTGGGCATGCGCAAGGACCCGAGTTCGATCCCCGGTACCAAAAAAAAACAAGAGACAGGGCTACCCTTTCCACTGTCTGCTTAGCTAGCACCGTGGTGTTCGGGGGAAGAGATGTTGGATGAAAAGCTTTCCTTCATGTGCATCTCCTTAGACTAAGCACAGGGTGCAGTGTGAATGAGATGTTCCTGTCACAGGCGTGAGTGCCCATTTGCACTCACTGCTGTCTCTGTCTCTGCAGGAGATGAGCGTGGGCTACGCAAACGGGATCCGGGTGATGAGCATGACCCACACCGGAGAGCCAGGTTTCATGCTGTACATCCCCATCGAGGTGAGGGTGCTCAGGGTCTGGGACGGGTCAGTCTTCCCAGGGCTCCTGCACACAGGCAGCTTCAGAGAGCTAGACTTGGCTGGGCTTTGGGAATCGAGGTAGGCTGTATGCAAGAGGACACTCTACTACTGAGCTACGTCTCCACTCCTTTTTGAGACAGGGTCTCACTGAATTATATAGGCTGGTCTGGAACTTTTTTTTTTTTCTGGTACCGGGGATCAAACTCGGTACCTTGGGCTTGTGAGGCAGGCACCAGAACCACTGAGCTAAATCCCCGGCCCTGGTCTGGAACTTGTGATCCTCCTGCCTCAGCCTCCCAAGTAGCTGGAATTGCAGGTGTACACTATGCCTGGCTGTCCTTCCCTTTTAGCCTTTTCCATAGCACTTATCACTGTAGTAAAACACAATTTATTTTGTTCATTAGGTCACTTTATACTGTTAACTTTTATGTCCCCATCATCTGTCTAGAGAAGTGTTTGGAGGGCGGGGATTTACTTTTTATTATGAAAATGTTTCATACATTTCAGACTGGTTTTTGTATTTTTATGTACTTAAATTGAAATTGATTACTTCTTTTTGGAGATAATGGAGTTTTTCTACTCACGGTTATACAATGTTTCCACTTTTTCTTCCAATGCTTTTATAGTTTTTGTTGTTCATAGTTTTGGCTTTTAAAAAGTATTTAAAATGTTTGATCCTTTTTCAGTGTCTCTTTGTGTATTTTATGCAGTATGAACCAAACTGTTTCCCCCCTACATGGTTACCTGATTACAGATCCTGCCTTTATTAATACTAAATCCTACAGGTACTTGGGTTTATTTCTGCACTGTTCTTTTCTATTTGTGTATCTGTTCATGATCCAGAACCATTCTGTTGTTTTGTGGCAATGGGGATTGAACCCAAGGCTTCGCACTAAGCTACAACCCTAGTCCTTTTTTTGATCTTTGCTAAGTTGCCCAGGCTGGACTTGAAGTTTCAGTCCTCCTACATTACTGTCCTAGAGTGCTGGGCCCTGTGCCACCGCCACCATGCCTGGCTCAGAACCACACTATTTTTAAGTCTTTTTGATATTTTTTAGTGCTTATCCTTCATTATATTGGAAAATTCTGGAAAAGAAGTTACTGTTTCCTTGCTTCGTTCGTGAACTTTTTTTAAAATGGAGGAAACAGTTGGATGTGATGGTGTGTCCCTGTCAGCCACAAAGGAGGCTAAAGCAGGAATATCAAGGTCAGCCTGGGCAGCTTAGCGGTACTGTCTCAAAGCACACACGCACAATACCATTTACATTTTTTGGATTGTGTTACTTTGTGTATGTGTTACTGGGGATTGAACCCAAGGCCTTCACACTGAACTCTATCCTCACCACCCCCTTTTTTTGAGACAGGGTCTGATTTAAGTTGCCCAGGCTGGGCTTGAACCTGGGATCCTCCTGCCCCACCCTCCCACAGTACTGGGATTATAAATGTTCACTGCCATGCTCAGCTGAGAATTGAGTCTTATGATGTACTGGATGTAGTCAAATGTGCGATGTCTTGTCTTGGATTTTTCAAGTTCTTTGGTGACTTTCAGAAGTATTTTGAAATCTTCATTAAAGCTTATTCAGTTAATATTTTGCTGCTGCGAATAGGGATGGGTGTCTTTGTTCCAATATTCTGAGTGGTGACGTTAGTCTATTTCCTTATGCAATTGTATTGTTTATAGTCTTTATTTTTAGATGATTCTCTGGGATCATAAGCAAACAGTAATCGTGTTTCTTCTTCCCAAGCTGTGGCTTAGTATGTGTGAAAGGTCAGGTGAGGTGTGTGTGCGTCCGTATATAAGGTTATGTATGAGTTTGGGTTTTGCAGCTTGGGCCAGTGCATGAGGTACTAGCACAGGTTTGGAACTGGAGCAAGAGAACAAAGCTTGGGTGGAGACTGGAGGTCACCTGAGTGGTTTCTTGAAGAAATTGGTCATTTACCAAACAGCGAGTGCTTCTGAGCTGCGTGGTAACTGCTGTGTGAAATCCCCTTAGGGAAGCGAAGGGTAGGGATTCTGCTTTGGTGGAGCCTGGCACCCAGGTCGGGGGACCCCAGCTCATTACTGCTGGCTCCAGGCCACAGCTCCTCAAGGATGAGATGTCCTGGAGTTTTGCCCACGTAGCAGCATGAGCACCGACACTTCTAGTCCTGCTGTTTGCTGGCCCCTGACCTCTCCTCTCCTCCCTCCAGTACGCTCTGCATGTGTACAACGAAGTGATGAATGTTGGGCAGAAGTACGGGATCCGGAATGCCGGGTATTATGCCCTTCGCAGCCTCCGAATTGAGAAGTTTTTTGCCTTCTGGGGCCAGGATTTAAACACACTCACCACCCCGCTGGAATGTGGACGAGAGTCTCGGGTGAAGCTGGAGAAGGTACCATGTTCATCCAGTCACTCCTGAGGGTGGCGATCAGCACTGGGACAGGAGACGGGAGGTGCAGGGTGTGTGAAGAGTGCCATTCTGTGACGACGGACACCAGCCAAGGCTCCTATCAGCAGCTTGGTCTGAAAGGATCAACGCTGGGCAGGAAGGTCTCTCGAGTTGATTTTGGTGATTTAGTACATGCCACATGGGTTTGTATAAATTAGTTATCTTACAATCAGCTGCTTAAATTTTTTTTTTTAAATGACTTTTTGAAATGCCTGGTTGCAGAGCATGTTCTGTGGAACATTCTGTCCACTCTGGGGTGCTGCAGTGCCGTGTGTTCTTCCCCTCCCACTGTTACCGACCTGGTGCTGTGGTCCAGCACCTGCTGTTCACACAGCACAGCCTCTAGCCAGTTCTCATCGGTACTGTACCTGTAGTACTTTCTGTGATACTACAGTAAAACCTCATTTTGGAAAATAGGAAAAAAAGCTATCAAATGGCCTATTTTTTTCTACCTATCCAGGTAATCAGTGTTCATTTACTCGTCTCTTGTACACAGGCATATATAAATATGTATTTTCTGATAGGGACGTGCATGGGCTTTTGGCTGGGATAACACACAAACATTATCTTCAGCTGGGTGCGGTGGTGCACACCTATGGTCCCAGTTTCTTGGAAGGCTGAGGCAGGAGAATCACTTATGCCGAGGGATTTGAGGTCAGCCAGGGCAACCCAGTGAGACTCCATCTCAAAAAAAAAAAAATAGAGAAATTCTAAAACAATTCTAGCAAGTATTTTTGTGTGATTTCTCTTTCTAAATATTGTTCTATGTGGTGTTGTGGTTGAAATCTGTTTATAAAATAGAAAAAGCCAGATGGTGGTGCACACCTGTAACTCCAGCACTCTGGGAAGCTGAGACTAGAGAATTGCAAGTTTAAGACCACCCTGGGCAACTGAGCAAGACCCTGTCTCAAAAGAAAAAATATAAAAATGGCTAGGGAAAGCTCAGTACAAAGGCCCTTGGCTTAATCCCCAATACTGCAAGAAAAGGAAAATCTATACTTCTGTTTTCACAAACAGCATTGATGGAGTTTTCTTATTGTGAATGCAGCTTGCACATGGGGGTAAAAAGCCATTTCACAGACGCCAGCCAGCAGGACTGTGGGGCAGGTGCAGTGTCGCCACTGTCTCAGCATCTCCTCTCTCCTAGGGCATGGACTTCATGGGCCAGGATGCCCTGCTGCAGCAGAAGCAGAACGGGGTATACAGGCGCTTCACCCTGTTCATCCTGGAAGACCACGACACGGACCTGGACCTCTGGCCGTGGTGGGGGGAGCCTATTTACCGGAACGGCCAGTACGTTGGCCAGACCACCAGCAGTGCCTACAGCTACACTCTGGAGCGCCATGTGTGCCTGGGCTTCGTGCACAACTTTTCCGAGGACACTGGGGAGGAGCAGGTGGTCACAGCAGATTTTGTCAACCGGGGAGAATACGAGATCGACATCGCGGGCTGCCGATTCCAGGCCAAGGCCAAACTCTACCCTGTTGCCTCCTTCTTTACACACAAGCGCCGAAAGGATGATGTGGAGCTAAGTGACTTGCATGGGAAGTAACACCGGGGCAGTGTCGCCTTCTTCCATCGTCTCAGCTGAGGAGTATCCCTTTCCCTGACCTGCTTCCTCTTCACTGAACCTTTGCCTCAAATTTCTTATCTCCTTGATATAAGTTTGAACTTGACCTGCTTTTCAAATTTTGCAACCTTTGCCTTCCCATCCATCCCCTGCTTAGAGTCCCACGGTGGCAGGAAGTGTACCTGACAGGACAGAGGCAAGCTTCCCTGTGGAATGGCGTTGAGGTCAAATTCTGTGTCTCTAAGGAAGGCCTGCAGTGTTGTCCAGGCCTCAGGGAAGGGTCCATCTCACTGGTCTCCGGTTCCTCAGAGAAGCCTGTGAGATGCAGCCCTGGCATAGCTTGTGCCTTTAGCCAGGCAGATCATTGTCGCATCCCATCGCACTGTGGGTTGGCACCTGATACCTCTACCAAGAGGATGATCATCTACCTCACTGACAAGAGGCGGTACCCAGCCGCATCTGGTCCACGGGAGAGACGAGTGGGTAACTTGGTACTGCCCTCATCTGCCCTCTGGAGCCAGTTCTTACACCTTCAGGCCAGGGCAGCCTGCCTGAAATTTTCTTCATCTCTTGCTCATCTCTCTAATGAGGTGATTTTTTTTGTTTCCTAGCTGAATAAGCAAGTATGCCGTGTCGCTTTTCCCAGCACAAGGGTCTAACTACAAACAGTATGTCACTACCAATGTGTGTTTCCTGCTGTGAAAACAGTGCTGCTTCCCTTTCGGTTCAGAGGTCAGTCCTGTCGATTTTCCTCCTCACATGACTCAGCCTCCCCTGTGTACTGTGTACTCGGCTCAGGAGCTCAGCATATAGAGCTGCTCCTTTAGAGCAGGAAGGGGACAGTCAGGCTGGCCAGAGTGAGTAACGAAGAAACCTTGTTCACACTGAGTTCCCAACAAAACCTGGAACTTCACGCCCCTGGCATGGAAGAAACAAAGCCACAGAATGAGTGCAGTGGGTGTGAGTTGTGTGCGGCTTTCCTCTTTTCATCTCGGCTTGCTTCCTCTTCTAGTCATCCCCATGTGCCCTCAGACTGAGCTATCCAGCCCCAGCACTTCATTTTCCCATGTATGTAAACTGCCCTAATCTGTTGGGGTTTTTTATTAGTGTAAAAAAACCTACTAGAAATGTTAGTTCAGCAGTAGTCTTTGTTGTCTTGGTATCTTGGAAGCATTCGTTTTGTTAAACCTGTAGATACATTAAAGATCGTTTCATGAGAGCAGCTTAACATCCTCGGGTGTCTGCCTTAACCTTAACTGCTGTGGAATCTGTTACCCACTTGGCAGATTGGCTTCTCCTGGACATCTTGCTGTTTCCCCAGCCAGCCCCCCCCCCCGCCTCCTGCATGGTGACGTTGCCTCCACGTGTGTGTGTGTAAGCGTATGATTAGAACTGTTTGGGCCCATTTCATTTGCTGAGAGCTGCTGCTTCTAGGCAACCAGGAGGGTGCTGAGCAGGGCAGTGGCAGGGGGTGCTACCCAGGGCAGAGGGACAGCCCTCGGCCACCTACAGGCAGGGAGCTGGCTGAGTCAGTTGGAAACAAGGTATTCACGCGCTTTCACATGTTTGCACCACTCCATATCTTTATATCCCGAAGAAATCCTTGATTTATGCACAGATAGTACAACTGTGGCAATAAATTTGAGCTTTAACTTACATAGAAGTGTCACCACCTAAGTTCCAAATTGAAAAAGTAAATGCAACCTCAATATGTAAGTGTCACCAAAGTATATTCAAAATAGACTTTAAGGCTGTATCATTTTTGCACTTGTTAATCTCTAGCAAATTACTGTTCTGTTAATTAGCTGTGCTGAGCAGGAGGGACATCTGATGTATTGAAAATCATGTGGCGACTCTGTTGTACTGTAGAGCTAGAAATCCTTTCCTCCAGAGGCTGTCATTCTTCCCCTTTGAGCCAGTGGTGGTTGTCTTGCTGTAAAGGGACGGAGGAGGGGCAAGCGCTCAGGACTGTGCTTTAAAAACCTCTTAAGTAGGGTCTTTCTCTTACTCTTCTATGCCATCACTTGTGCCTGGAATACAGAGGTTTACCTTTGGCACTGCACATGCACCCACTGGTCTCCTCCCTTGGAAGTACAGTACTTTCCCAGCTTTCAGTCTCATGCACACACAGGTGGCATCATTTGACTTTTCTGTATCTGGTCCTGATGGGAGCACTGTGAACAGAGACTCCTCCCTGCCTTGGTGGTCAGGATCAGAAGCAGTGGAAGCCCGACAGCTGAAGGTAGGCATTATGGCACCCTGGGCTGCTGCAAAGAAGCGCTGGATCTAGAAGACAGCTGAGATACTGGCGGGTATAAGGAAGGACAAGCACAACCCCCTCACACGTGTCACTCCATTTGTCGGGCAGTGGGGCCACAAAAGCTCGTCTGGTGTGACAACATACCAGTGTGAGTCAAGGAATTCTGGCCTTTAGGTGGTTGGGTATTATCTGGAATTATCTGTTGGGGAGGCACTGCACATTCTGTTGTCAGCATTTACTTAAATAATCTTTTTCAACCTAGAAACAGTATGTTGCCCTTTAACCAACAAAGACTCAGAGTTGCAAGTTTTCTGTCTTCTTCCTTTATGTTCCTCCCCCAGGTGCTATTTTGTAGCGTGCCATGGTCCTTTGACTTGAGCTTGCGTAGGCAAGATTGCCCTCCACATACTTCCACGGAGGTGACCACAGCTCTAATTCCGCACTTTAAGAGCTAAAAAGGGAAAATAACTTACTGCTTAGCTCACCTATTTGGTATCCTTTAACCTTCTGTAATAGCACTATTTACAGTGCTTCTTCGGGGGGGGGGGGGTGTCCTTATACCCCCAAATGGATCATTTAACCCAGAGACTAAGTCCCAGTTTCACTCTGACCCTGAGAGCTGCCATCAGGCTGTATGCTCTCCCTGGGGCGTCACTCCTGGACACACAAGAATCTTACCTGCTCATTTTCTTTCCTAGGCTGTTTCCAAGAAAGAAACTAAAACATGAGAAATAAATTCCCAGCTCTCAGTCCACTGCCCTGCTTTTGCAGGTACCTGAAATGTTAGCGCCCTCCTTCTCCCACCACCTGGGTGGCAGTGGTAAGCAGCATGGAGCAAGTGGCAGGTGCCTCCTAGAAAAGATGCCCACAGCCTTGAAGGCTGGCTGTTTAGCCTGTCACTTAAACAGACACATGTGCTGGCATCGGAATGTGTCTTCATCCTTGAGGAACCCAGGCCAGAAGGGAACCTCAGTGCCCTCCAGTTGCAGCAAGTCCTGGGAGACCCTGTCCCGGCAGAGCACTTGCATTGGGCAGCTTTTGGGGCTGAGCTATAGCTTCATGTCTGGTGCTTTGATGCTTCCTGCCCAGGGTCCTAATACCTAGGACAGAGCTGAGAGCCACTGGGCAACGCTGCAGAGTAAGGTGCTGCCACTTTAGTTTTCCTTCTGCACCCACCCGAAAGTGCTGCTGTAAACAGCAGGAGCACTGTATGAACACAACATAGGCAGATTTCTCTTAGGGGACAGAGTCATCCTGGATGCTGCAAGAGGAACGGTAACCCCGTAGCACATGCCTGGGCTCCACTCACCTGTACATGAAGAAAGCGTGAGCGAGCCAGGGTCTGTCGGGCAGCAGCGTCCTGCACCACTGCTTCTGGCCTCCACTTCAAGGTGCTGAGTTGTGAGCCCTCTCATTCAGGTCACCACAGGGCTCACTGCCGAGGTCCTCATTACCATTCCACTGTTTGTCACAAGAACCGAGTATGTTTTACACCTCTGCCTTCTCTGTCCCCTGAACAGCAGGGTGGTTTCTTGCATGATTCTTGACTTCTTCGAGCAGAGCACATCTGTTAGACAATTTATGCATTTCTTCATGGGCCATTTTTCTCATAATAGTCAAATGCCCCTGTTTTTAATCCTTTGCAAACACCTTGTTTTTCTGTTCATAAAGGACAGAAACTACTAGGGGAGAGAAGGATAGTTTTAGTATCTATTCAAAAAAATCTAAGCCAGGATTTCCATTGCACACCAAAACCTGCAGCTTGGAGAGCAGTTCTAGTGCCCTACACTCCATGACCACAGTGCTGGATGAGGCAGAAGGAAGGGAAGCACTTTCCAGTCAGTGAGTTCCCAGCCCCCACAGCCTGTCCTCTCTGAGCAGATGGCTGCGGGGAAAGGTCTGCTGCTTGTTTTCTAGTTCAAGCTCCACTCCCTGCTCAACTCTTGGATGTACAAACCCACCACTGTAAGGGCTGTAAAGTCTGGTAACTCATTTGCAGCATGTGATTCTGTTGAGCCCCTTTCTGTTCCATGAGAGGTGACAGGTCATCCTGAAGACAGGTGACATCCTCAAGGGCCCGGATGACTTTGGACACATGGGGTGACCGAGCCTTTCTGCCCTCTATGAATACAATATGAACACTGCACTGTATGTGTGGCTGGCTGGCTTTCAATGGGATTTTCTGTTCATTGAACACAAATAAACATTGTACTTTCCCTTGTCATCTCACCTGTGGAATGTCCATCTGCAATAACTCGGTATAGTGTATTTGCCCATCACAAAGGATAAATATCATACATAAACCCATTTGTACCTGTGATACCAAAGTATAAGAAAGAATTTGGAAACTGGTAAGGAGGATGCAGCCTGACTCCAACTCTGCATCGCTGGCTTGGCTGGGGTGAGCGTACCTCCCTTCCCACAGCTACTGTTGCTGTCACTGCACCTGACATCTCATCCCTCGCTGAGTCACAGTAAGGACCTGGCACTAGGCACACAGCCCATGCACCAGTGTGGAAGATACATGTGCATTCTTGCCACACAAAGAGAAAGAGAAGCAGCCAGTAACTTTTCCATCCTGTTTCCATGCACAGGTTTAGTCACAGGGTTTTATCCTATTTTTTGCATTGCTGTATATAAAGATCCCAGAGGACCTAATCTCATGGATTTGCTTGCTCACACTGCACACTTATACTACAAGGGCCCACACACAGAGGTCAGGAAGCCCACTGCTCCTTGGATGCTACTGCACTTCAGCCCCTGATGCACAACATAACATGGCTTGAACCCCTGGCATGATGTGGCTAAAACCTTAATGGACAAGCAAATGCCCCAACACTGGTTCCTGCCCAACAAAGCATGAGAGTCCTCGCCGCCTATCCACATACAGAGCTCTGGCACTGCAACTACAGCAGTGAAGTGGCTGTTGGTGGATCCTGGCCCTGGCCTGCAGGTCAGCAGATGCCATGAAGCAGCTGCCGTGAGGCCCAGATGCACAGGGCCAGTGGCGAACATTTCCAGTAAGCATCTGTGAGGTCAAAACAGCAGCACACACACCACAAGAAACGGGACACAAAGACCCAAGGAGAATGAGGAAAGAAGAAATCTACCATCTAGAAAGAGAAGGCATTCTGAAGATTTCACTTGAAAGAAAAAGAGGAAAAACACTGGTTATTTTGGGGGGTCCCAGAGACAGGCTACCACTTGGCAGCATGGAGCCCCTATCTGTTCCCTTGTATCAACCTGAAGGAGGCTCAACAGTTTGGCCTCATGTATGTGAGGAAGGACAGCACATGCCCATCACCGTGAACTACCCTATGTTAGACAAAGTTATTAACATATTAATATTTATTTATTTAAAATGGCCTCCATGAACGCCTAGTTAACATAGTTAATATGGTCAAATGTAAACTGAAATGGGGTATTCCAGGCTTACAACTTAACCTTTAATTTATAGTGAGGTGGCAGCTGGTTGTGCTGGCACACACCTGTAATCCCAGCGCTCAGGCAGCTAAGGCAGGAGGATCACTGCAAATTCAAGGCCACCCTGGGCAACATAATGAGACCCTCTCTGGAAAAAAAAAGTGGGGGGAGGGGGTGGCTATATCTACTCATTCTCCACTTAAGAGCCCAAATTTGTCTCCTTTAAAAACAACCAAACTGGCCGGGGATTTAGCTCAGTGGTTCCACTACCTGCCTCGAAAGCCCAAGGTCCTGAGTTCGATCCCCGGTACCAAAAAAAAAAAAAAAAAAGATTAAAAACAAAAAAACAACCAACCAACCACATCCAGAGCCCCTTACAATGGCTTACTCCAACTTCAACATTTTCCACTGCCAGCATTCCATGCCTGACAACAAATGCTACTAAATTACTGAGTGATTCAATTCGCATCTGGTAAACGGCACTCACAGATGAGCCAGGCGTGGTGGTGCACACCTATAATCCCAGCACACAGGAGGCTGAGGCAGGAGGATCGCTGAGAGTTCGAGGCCAGCCTGGGCTACATAGTGAGTTCAGGGCCAGCCTGAACTACAAAGGGAGACCTTACCTCAACCCCCACCCCCCCAAAAAAGGATGCACTCACAGAGCCACAGCCCTGCTCAACACCTCCGCTGTGGGCCTGCACCCCTGAGGGCCATGGGTACCTTCCCAGGCTGCTGGTGGGGACCTCCACAGCTTGGTCACATACAGCACATAAGATCTTAATGAACCCACCTCCAGGAGCCCAGGTATGGCCCTACACTGAGGACATCTTCCTCCCAGGAGATTCATTTGATACACAAATTAAGGATGTTTAGGTCCAGGGTTTCTTAGTATGTACTTTTAAATCCTGTTAACAATGTATTCCTTTCTCATTTACATTTTCTAATGCCTCCTGGATTTAGATCAAGCATGATGGCCATTGAGTGCTGTACCTATTAAAGCAACATGATTGAGTCTTGCAAAGTGGCACACAACTGTAATCCTGTAATCCCAATATTCTGAGAGGCTGATGCAGGACGCTCGATACCTGTCTAAAAGTTCAAACTTTTAAAAAGAGGTAGGGATACAGCTCAGTGCAAAGGCCTGGCTCCAATTCCCAGTACTGGGACACGTGTACCCAAAACCCATCAGATGGAGCTGCACGTGTCTGCCAACTGCTGCTCTGAGTGCTCCAGTCTGCAACAAGTGCCTGAACCTCCCAGGAGACACCACTGTTTCAACCAACTATGACAAATGCCAAGGCCTAGGCACCTCAAATGGATCCCTGCTTGAAAAGGACACTGAAGTGCCCCGTCCCAGGTGATGCTGCCCTGGCCCCAAAGTTTGCAGCTAGAAATGCCAGCATCTCAGTCAGACATCACCTACCTGAAGATCGCAACATGGACATGATTTCACCCCTTACTCTAAACCACACACTCCAGTGACAAAAGCAATTTCTGCTTTTCTTTCAGACCTCACTGCTCTCTAGTGCAGAGCAGCCACCTCCACTGCTCCCACAGGTGACCAGCACAGCCCGACACAGCCACTCCCTCGCCCCCCAGCCTGCTCTCGCTGGCCCCCAGAGGCCCCCATTTCTGGAAGTCAGCTGTCACCAGGATGCCCCCTTTCTCACCTCCTCTACCCGGTCACTCATCAAGCCTGGCGCGGCCACACCCTAAGTCCCACAGGTCATCTACTTCACTCCACCTCCTGCCAAACCTGAGGACTGAGGCCACCGCATCCCTCCCAGACTCGGGCAGTGGCTTCCGGGCAGGACGCCCGACCTCCTCCTCCTCGCACTTTTCCCCCACAGCCTGGTCTCCACACAGGGGCCGAGCAGGTCTTCTGCCTCGGGAGCCTTATTTCACAGCCCTGCTTCTGGCCCCGCCACAACTCTCGACCGAGTGAGAGCTCCTCACAGAGACAAGCTCCTTCCCAGCCTGCTTCTCATCCAGGCCTTGGCTCTTCTGTGCCCGCCCCGCGGCTCCTCGCACTCAGACTCCCTCAGACTCGCAGCTTCACCGTCCCTCCTCCCAGGACAGCACACACTGTCCCTCCGATCATCGCCACAGCTCCTGCCACCCTCCTGCAGACACAGATAATGTCCTCGCTCACAGCCTACTGGACATCTACGTGACATCAGCGTGGCCGAGTGGCTTCTCTGTGATGGCCCATGCCGCCTGCCCTCGTCCCCATGCACAACTCTCCACACGGCGAGCACAGCCGCCCGGGAAGCCCGGGCTGGGGTGCAGTTAGGTGTGAAAGCCTCTCGGCCGGAGGACTCCGGGCAAGTTTCTGCAGCACTATGTCAGGCTTCCCACTGCTCTACAGGCTCCGAACCTCTACCTCATGGGCTGCGGCAAACACTAAACCCGACAAGGCAGGAAGGACAGGCCCCTGGCCTGCAGCAGCACCCAGGCATAGTGGTTATTTTCCCACCACGATGGACTCTGAGCCGGGCAGCAGCTACAGCTTGTCTCCAGTTTCCCAGCATTCGCCACGGGTACCCAGGAAACATGCTGATGACTGAGAACAGACAACAGAGGGGATGCGACACCCAAATGCCTCCACACATGTTTGTAAAAACTATTTTTATAGGGTAGTTACAATGTCCCCCACACTGCCTAAATCAGTGATGAACTTTTTAGAGATTTCAATGATACAAACAGCCTGCTGCAGCATGCGTATGGTAGGTTCAGCACCACTGGCCTAAATATTCAACGAATCTAACCCTATGAAGTAGATTTCACCTCTTCTAAGCTTGAAGAAACCAAAGCACAGGTACAAGTAATGATTTCCCCAGGGTCTTGTAATGCTGGTGAGTGGCAACTTCACAATTCAAAGCCTGCAAACCTGGCCCTAGAACCTGTGATTTTTCACTGTTGTCTGCTGACTACCAAACAAGGTGAGCAAAGTCATAACAGCTGTGAGGACAGAAACATCAAGCTTTTCCCCTAGCAGGAAAAAGAACATTGCAAAGGCAGAAGCAGCAGCACAAAAAGATGAATTTCAAGATATAATATGCCAGCAAGCATGGTGGCACACACCTGTAGTTCCAGCACTCAGGAGGCTGAGGCGCCGAAGAGTTCCAGGCCAGCCTAGGCTACATTGTAAGTTAAAGACCAGCCCAAACGACATAGTTTTTGAGACCCTGTCTCAAAAGAAACACCCCCAAAAAACAAATACATAAAAAAGATGGAATAGCCTATGTTAAAAATCCAAGGTGAGCTAGGTGCAGCGGCACAAGCCTGTAATTCCAGCTACTAGGAAGGCCAAGGCAGGAGGACTTCTGCTCAGCTCCCGGGGGAGATTGGGCTGTGGGAGAGAAGTGCAGGTGGGAGGTCGGAGCCCTGCCACTGTGAGCTGCAGGCCAGCCTGGGCTACATAATAAGAATCTTGTCTCAAGAAAACAAAACAAACAAAACTACTGCTTTTGTAGGCCTCAAGTATAGCTCAGTGGTCAGGGAGGGGAAACAGGTCTTGGGTTTGATCCCCAAACCACCCCAAAAGAAGAGAAATAATTTCTACTCAATAACCTTAAAACAGGGCTTCACTGGAACGTGGTGGTGCACTCCTGTAATCCCAGCACTCAGGAGGCTGAGGCAGGAGGATTGCCAAGAGTTCGAGGGTATAGTGTGGGCTACATAGTGAGTTCAAGACCAGCCTCAACTACAGGGAGACTCTGTCTTAAACAACAACAACAACAAACAAACAAAATAAAAGAATGGCTTCGGGGCCGGGGATTTAGCTCAATGGTTTGGCTGCCTGCTGTGCAAGTGCAAGGACCCCAGTTCAATCCCCGGTACAAAAAAACCCCACAAAAACGGCTTGTTCTGCCCAGATCTGCCCATACTGACAGCAAAGTGACACCTGTAACGTCCTAAGTCATTGCTCCAGTTGCAGTATTAGGGATAGGTGGGCAGCTGATCACAGGGAAGACCATAAGGGAAAGGTGGAGCCACACCACACTCCCCACGTGTGCTTCAGCAGTAACACCTGAGACACCAGCGTCTGATCCTGTTGGCCCAGGGTACTGTAGGCCCAGGGTGCTGTATTTTTCAGAAATTGCACCAGGAAGCAGAGCATGGTGGTGCACACCTGTAAGACCACCACTGGGGAGGCCGAGGCAGGAAGACTGCATGTTCAAGCCCCACCTAGGCTAAATAACGATAACACGTCTCAAAAAGATGGGCTGAGAATGTAGCCCAGTGGCAGAGGGTCCCTGGATTCGACCCCCAGTACTAGGAAAATCAATCGACCAATGACCAAGTGATCAAGTAAGTTTAAGAAATTAGTACCATCCCTACCTTTCGGCTCCCACCATTCTTATTGTGTTTTCCTGCATGTGCGAAATGGGCTTGAAAACTGCTGACCCGAACCCAAGTAGCAAGCACAACAGTCCCAAAGTGTCACACATTAAGAAGAAAGCCCGCTCCCCCGGCCCAGGCCTTGCTGGTGGCTTCTTCCGCTGGACACTGCCGCGGTCTAAGAGTCCGCAGAGCGCGGTGCACCGCACGTTCCCAGGCGGGAAAACAACTCCCCCTGCAGGGTCTGAGGGCCCGGGAGCCGGCCAGCAGCGAGGTTTCCGGGGCACAGCCGGTGGGCAGGCGCGGGTCCCCGAGGCCTGATAGCTCGCGGGACCGAGTCCTAGCTCCAGGACGCCCCTGCCCGAGAGGAGGCGGCGGAACCGACACGGTCAAGGGACACCGGGGACCCCGAGGACAGAGGGGAGCGCAAGGCGGGGACGGCCAAGATCCGGGACGCCGAAGCCGCGCGGACACGGAGGCCACACGGCCCGCAGCTCGCTCCTTACCTCCCCGGGCGCGGGCTCCGCGCTGAGACACCTTGGCGAGAGCGACGCACACTCCGCGCTCAGAGGCGCCCTGGCGGGAGCGAGGCACACACCACCGTCGCCGGGGGTCGTGCCGGACCGGAAAAGGGTTCACAGGACATGAGAAGGAGGAGCAAGAAGGAAAGAAAAGTTCCTGAGCACGGCGACCTTCCGCGCTTTACGGCCGGCAAGGGTACGGCGAGTGCGCAAGCGACCTGACGTACGCGAGGCTCCGCCCCCTCCACGTAAGCTTGTTTGGGGCTCGCGAGGCTCCGCCCCCGGGCGACGCCTCACCTTCAGCCTGAGTCTGACTGAGGCGGCTTAAAGCTGTGGGCTTCCCACACAGGTGTAGGAGCTGAGTAGTCGCCCCACTGCAGCGAGGCGTCCTCGCGTCTTCGCCTGACCTTACTCCTTGTTCCTTCCTAGTCATTCACTGGAGGCTCAGAGAAGTGCCCTCGCAAAGTACTGGCTGCCTTTCTCACGGATATAGGCCCAGTCCTCTGACGACACACGCAGCTGTATTCTCTGGACCTCAGTGGTGCCTGGCCCATCTCCAGGGTGTGGTTGAGCCGGGGATTTAGCTCAGTGGTTCTTCTGCCTGCCTCACAAGCTCAAGGACCCGAGTTTGATCCCCAGTACCAAAAAAAAAAAAGGGGGGGGGGTGGCTATGTTTTTTAGCATCTATTTAAAAAATCTATGCCAGGATTTCCATTGCACACCAAGACCTGCAGCTTGGAGAGCAGTTCTAGTCCCCTACACCCCATGACCACAGTGCTGGATGAGGCAGAAGGAAGGGAAGCGCATTCCAGTCGGTGGGTTCCCAGCCCCCACAGCCTGTCCTCCCTCAGAGCAAATGGCTGCGGGGTAGAAAGGTCTGCTGCTTGTTTTCTAGTTCAAGCTCCACTCCCTGCTCGACTCTTGGATGTACAAACCCACCACTGTAAGGGCTGTAAAGTCTGGTAACTCATTATTTGCAGCGTGTGGTTCTGTTGAGCCCCTTTCTGTTCCATGAGAGGTGACAGGTCATCCTGAAGACAGGTGACATCCTCAAGGGCCCGGGTGACTTTGGACACATGGGGTGACTGAGCCTTTCTGCCCTCTATGAATACAATATGTCTGGGGATTTAGCTCAGTGGTTCTGCCGCCTACCTCGCAATTGTAAGGACCTGAGTTCGATCCCCGGTACCAAAAAAACAAAACAAAACAAAACAATATGAACACTGAACTGTATGTGTGGCTGGATGGCTTTCAATGGGATTTTCTGTTCATGTTACTAGGAATGGACATGAATAAGCCGATATTTTAATTTTTCTTATCATCTCTACTTTTGAAATGTCTTTCATCTTCATTAACTTAGTATGGTGTATGTATTTGCCTTCAAAGGTTAAAGCCATTTACTTGTGATACTAAGAATTAAACACCAAGAAGACTCCAGCTTTTTTCTTTTTTTTGAGACAAGCTCTCACTAAATTGCCCAAGGTGGCCTTGAACTTGGCATCGTCCTGCCTCTGCCTCTCAGGTACCTAGAATTATAGGCATGCACCACCATGCACAGCTCATCCTATTTAATCTTCATGACAACCTTAGGAGATAAGCTTGTAGCAGATGACACAGATGCGGACACAGCATGGCTCTCCAAGGTCACACAGCTGTGGGGACAGCTGCACATGGAGATCTCAAATCTGCTTCATGCCAAGGCTGCACAGCGGAACCCATGATCTTTGTGTAGCAAAGGGAAGAGAAGTGGCCAGGAGGGCAGCTGTGGCTGGGGCGACCCAGTGACTGATAAGTGGAAGGAGCAGAGAGCGGAACAGGAAAGAGTCCAAGGAGCCTGGCGGACTGCATGTTATCTCAGTTCCTCCTTCCCTCCTGCTGTGTGACTTGCAGTGCATAAAAGAGGTGGAGATATCTCCTGTCCCACTGATGGTAGTGGCTTCTGCCAACCTTTTTCCTTAGGTGGGCAGAAGCCAGAGAGGGCAAATGTGGAGCTGGACCCTAGGAGGCGCTGTGCATCGTCATGGGCTTGAAACCACTATCTAGGAGCCGTGGAGCAGACAGGGTGGGAGATTCAGGGAGCTGACCTGATCCCAGCCCTGGGAGCCAGGCTGAAGCAGGGCTGTACAGCCACCCACAGGCCCACAAGTGTGACACCACACACAGGTTGTCAAGCCCTGGCTCTGGGGCTGGTTTGTATGCAAGCTTTTTCAGAGCTCTGGCTATATAGGGACTATGAAATCACGTCCTTCACCACACGGAATTCTTCATTCACTGCTAAATTTGAAGTCAGTGGTCTTTATTCAGCTTCTCAATTTTCTTTTTCAGTACTAGGGATCAAATCAGGAGGCACTGTACCACTGAGTTATGGGGAGAAGGCAGTCATATATATATATATATATATATATATT